CTGTGGAACTTCTCACTCCAGGACGACTCCCACTACGGCCACTCCGACAACCCCAACTAGTGTACCACGCACGAAGCTGTTGGGGGGTGAGGGACTCACGCGGGCGACGCTGGAGCTGCATCTGGCCACGCCAGGAGCAACAGTAGCAGTAGAAAGGGCAGCAACATTAAGAGCAGCAGTAACAGCAGTACGGGCAAGGCAGTGCTCACCAGTGGCGAGAAGGGCAGGTGTACGATGGCGGCAACGGCGAGGCCGCTACCACTGTAGAGTGAGAGCACTGCGGCAGCTGCAGGGGTGGCTGCTCCAGGGGCGGCTGCTCCAGGGGCGGCTGCTGCAGTGGCGGCTGCTCCGGCGGCGGCTGCTGCAGTGGCGGCTGCTCCATGGCCGAATGCTGCAGTGGCGGCTGCTCCAAGGGCGGCTGCTGCAGTGGCGGCTGCTCCAGGGGCGGCTCGGCTGCTGGGCGACTCGGCAGCTCAGCTGCTGGGTGGCTCGGCGGCTCGGCTGCTCGCTAGGGGCGGCGACGGGGCCGAGTAGGGGCGGCGACGGGGCCGCTAGGGGCGGCGACAGGGCCGCGTAGGGGCGGCTACGAGGTCGCGTAGGGGTGGCGACGGGGCCGCGTAGGGAGGGAGGCGGCAACGGGGCCGCTAGGGGCGGCAACGGGGCCGCGTAGGGGCGGCTACGGGGCCGCGTAGGGAGGGAGGCGGCGACGGGGCCGCTAGGGGCGGCGACGGGGCCGCGTAGGGGCGGCGACGAGGCCGCTAGGGGCGGCGACGGGGACGCGTAGGGGTGGCGACGGGGCCGCGTAGGGAGGGGAGCGGCGTCGGGGCCGCTAGGGGCGGCGACGGGGCCGCGTAGGGGCGGCGACGGGGCCACTAGGGGCGGCGACGGGGCCGCGTAGGGGCGGCAACGGGGCCGCGTGGGGAGGGAGGCGGTAACGGGGCCGCTAGGGGGCGGCAACAGGGCCACTAGGGGCGGCGACGAGGCTGCGTAGGGGCGGCAACGGGGCCGCTAGGGGCCGCGAGGGGCCTGGAAGGGCGGCGACGGGGCCGCTAGGGGTGGCGACGGGGCCGCTAAGGGTGGCGCGAGGGGCCGTGAGAGGGGCCTCTAAGAGAGCTCGACAGAAGGGCAGCCCACAAGGCGCGCCTCGGGCAGGAGCGACTGTCACTCCGGTCAGAAAAATAAGGTTTCAGTGGTGGGCCCAAGGAAGCGTTCCCACTAGGGAACCTGCTCTATACCATGTGAAGAAATGAGGAGTGAATGAACTAGCAAGCAGGTGGGTACAAGTAGGAAAACCTTGAAGTGTTGTACCCCATATTGTCTACCCCACTATAGCCTACACAGACTATAGCATAAGAGTTTGACACACTAGACCACACTAGACCACAGAGCAAAGAATGGCGTGAGGCGATGGACGCGGAAATCAAGGCGCTTGAATCCCAGGACACCTGGGTGCTAGTCGACCGTAGCGGCAATCAAAGGAGCAAGAGTTCTTTAGGGAAAATGGGTCTTCCGCGTGAAGACCACAGCGGATGGAACAATCGAGCGCTTCAAGGCGCGTTGGGTGGTACGAGAATACGACCAAAGGCACGGCATCGAATTCGACCAGACGTTCGCCCCAGTCAGCCGCCACAACTCCGTCCGAATCCTGCTCGCCACTGAAGTAGTAAGGCATCTGCCTCTCCGCCAGATCGACGTGAAGAACGCGTTCCTGTACGCGTTAGTAGACACCGTGATTTACGTGGAGCAGACGCACACATACGGCGAAGGAGATTCGCACGTGTGCCAGCTGCGCAAATCTCTGTACGGGATAAAACAGGCACCAAGGCTTTGGCAGCAGTATCTGCACAACACCCTGCTTGAAATTGGGTTCAAACAGATGCCGCACGATGCAGGAATGTACCGCTGCAACTTCCGTGGCGAATACATTCTCCTCACGGTCTACGTCGACGACCTGCTTTACACGGGATCAAGCAACGAGTTACTCGAGCAGTTCGAGAAAAGCCTGGCGGGGCGCGTCGACATCACGTGCAACTACGAGGTAAAGTAGTTCTTAGGCCTCAACGTCTCCTACGCACCTGAGCCCATTCACCTCTCAGCGGCTAAGTACGCAAAGGAGTTAGGGAAGCGGTTCAACATTTCACCTGCACCGCTCTCCACTCCCTACCGAACTCCGGGACCGAACCACAAACCTGACAACAAAGCCCTATCCCCTGCCGGAGTTCAGACTTACCAGCAGTAGCTGGGATGCCTGCTCTTTGCCTCTGTCACATCTCAGAATAGTAGATTAATCTTAGGCGCCATGGCTAGGTTTTGAGGAAAACGAGAGTAGCGAGGGAGAAGTTGTACCAACAAAAAAGAGGGTGATTCAATATTGAGCGAGGGTACAAATAGGAAAGAACCAACAAGAAAGGTGCACCACCAACTAAGAGAATGCTATAACTACAGTAACCAATCTTACAGGCAGTTACATATAGAAAATATTAACTTATATTTTCCGACACGCCCCCATAACTGGCTGTAGGAGAGTATGCAGTTAGCGCACCCTTAAGGGGTACATCACGATTACACAGCGGAAATTGCAGCAACAAACAAGTGCAGTGACAACCATTGCAGTGGTGGCAGATCCAGCTGTAGCACACCCTGGGCCAAGGTAGAAACAGTAGCAGGTGTAGGGGCGGCAGGTCGCCTGAGGAGCAGGCTCTGTGGCTGCAACGTGCAGCAGGACAGCAGCGGCTCGACGGCAGCACCTGCAGGCCCCTAGCAGCAAGCAGCAGAAGCAAAGGCAAAAGAGGCAGGTGGCAGCAGGGGCGGCAGCTGGAGGTGCCACGGTAGCAGTGGGCGTCAGCAGCAGATGCCCGGCTGACTTCCGCCACCCCCTCTCACCCTCCCCCCCACAGCTGCAAGCGCGGCAGTGAGAGAGAGGGGAGGGGGGACGGATGTTGGTGCTGCAAAATCTCTCTGGCCACCCCCTCACACTCCCCCCCATCCCCCACAGCGACCGGCGCTGCAGGGAGAGAGAGGAGAGAGGAGGGCGTCGGTGGTTTCCTGCGGGTGCGCTCCCGCCACTCTTTTACCCTCCCCCCCACAGCGAAAGTCGCGTATGGGGCGACAAATGATGACGGCAGCTGCTGCAGACTGCTCACAGCGGTCGCCCCGACACACCACCTCCCCCATGGTCCCCCACTCCCACGACCTCCCCCCACAGTAGGAGCGCGCACGGCAGCAGCAAGTTGTCAGATTATTATAGCTGATGCATGTTTGTAGGCTATAGTGGGGTAGCACATATGGGGTACAGTTTGCTAGGGTTGTATTTGTACCCAACTCTGACTTAGTCAATTCATTCCTCTGCTCATAGTTTCACATGGTATAGAGCTAGGTCCCTCCAGGACCGAATTTTTTTTTTTTTTGGGCCCACCGAAGCGCGCCCCCCGAGGCGCGCCCTTTTTGTTTTAGCGACCCTTCGGGTCGCCCTCTCCCCTTACGCGGCCCCGCGCTGGCCCCTTACGCGGCCCTGCGCCGCCGGCTCCTACGCGGCCCCGCGCCGGCCTCTTACGCGGCTCCGAGCCGGCCCCTTACGCGGCCCTGGGCCGCCGACTCCTACTCGGCCCCTTACGCGGCCCCGCGCCGGCCTCCTTCTCGGCCCCGCCGCCGGCCTCCTACACGGCCCGCCGCAGGCCTCCTACTCGGCCCGCCACCGGCCTCCTACACGGCCCGCCGCCGGCCTCCTACTCGGCCCGCCGCCGGCTCCTACACGGCCCCGCCGCCGGCTCCTACTCGGCTCCGCCGCCGGCCTCCTACACGGCCCGCCGCCGGCCTCCTACACGGCCCGGCCCCGGCTCCTACTCGGCCCGCCGCCGGCCCCCTACTCGGCCCGCCGCCGGCCTCCTACACGGCCCTGCCGCCGGCCTCCTACTCGGCCCGTCGCCGGCCTCCTACTCGGCCCACCGCCGGCCTCCTACTCGGCCCGCCGCCGGCCTCCTACACGGCCCTGCCGCCGGCCTCCTACACGGCCCTGCCGCCGGCCTCCTACTCGGCCCGTCGCCGGCCTCCTACTCGGCCCGCCGCCGGCTCCTACCTGGCCCTACCGCCGGCCCTACCGCCGGCCTTGTCCCGGCCCCGCCACTGCACTGCAGCCGAGCCGCCCAGCAGCAGCCGAGCCGCCCAGCAGCAGCCGAGCCGCCCAGCAGCAGCCGAGCCGCCTAGCAGCAGCCGAGCCGCCCAGCAGCAGCCGAGCCGCCCAGCAGCAGCCGAGCTGCCCAGCAGCAGCCGAGCCGCCCAGCAGCAGCCGAGCCGCCCCGCAGTAGCCGAGCCGCCCCGCAGTAGCCGAGCCGCCCGGTACCTGAGCAGCCCGAGCCGCCTGAGCTGCACGAGCAGCCCGAGCCGCCTGCTGCTGACCTACCCGACTCTCCCATCCCGGTGAGACTTTCAGCTGCTGCTATGGCCACCCCCAATGTTCTCACTTTTGACGCTGAGGGGAGGGCCATTGACTTTGCCGTCTGGATCGAGGATCTGCAGCTGTACTTACTGTGTGATGCGGTAGATGAGGTCTCTCTCTTTGACTTTGTCTCTGGCGCTGTCCCTGCCCCGCCTGCTGATGCTGACTCTGCCGTTCGCTCCAAGTGGGCGACCCGCGATGCTGCTGCACGTCTTGCTGTGCGTCGCCACCTCCCTTCCTCTGAGCGTGCCCACTTTAGTCAGTGCAAGACCGCTCAGGCCTTGTACGACGCTGTAGTTGCGCGCTACTCCTCCCCTTCCTCCGCTACCCTTAGCCGCCTCATGCTACCGTTTCTCTTCCCTGACCTCGCTTCCTTTCCCACTGTCGCTGACCTCGTTACCCACCTCCGCGCTAGTGACACCCGCTACCCGCGCTGCCCTTCCTGCTGAGTTCCGCGCTGCGAACCCTCCTCCCATGTACATCACTCTCTACTTTCTCGTCACCCGTCTTCCTGAGTCCCTTCGTGTCGTTAGGGACCAGTTTCTCTCTGTCTGTCCCACCACTCTCACTGTCGACCTCCTTGAGGAGTCCCTGCTAGCGGCTGAGAAGAGTATTGTCGCTGTAGGGGCCTCTCGGGGTGACCCTCGCACCCCCATCTTTGAGGGGTGTGGTCCCTCCCCCCTGCTGCCCTCTGTCGCCTCTGCCGCTGCGGCCGACCTCGTTGGTTTTGAGTCGGTCGGCGCGGCGTCTGCCCCCAGTGGCAGACGCCGCACTGGCAAGGGCAAAGGGGGCAAGGGAGCGGGTGGAGCCAGAGGGGGCGGTGGAGGAGGCGGTGGGGGTGGAGGGGGGAGTGGGGGTGGCGGGGGGGGTGGTGGCGGGAGTGGAGGTAGTAGTGGCGGCGGTGGAGGCGGAGGTGGCGGCGGAGGTGGTAGCGGAGGAGGCGGTGGGAGCGGTGGGAGCGACGGTCCTGGTGGGGGAGGTGGCGGTGGCGACGGGGGTGGCGGTGGAGGCGGGGGTGGCGGTGGAGGAGGGGGTCGGAGTGGCTCGTCCCAGCGGAGCAGCTCTGGGGGTGGTCAGCGCCAGCAGCAGCAGCAGCAGCAGCCACAGCAGCAGCCGCAGCAGCAGCAGCGCTCTCGCACCGTCCCCGGCCCTCAGCAGCTCCGTGAGTGGTACTTGCAGCGTCAGCGCGGTGGTGCGCTTGGTCCCTGCCCCTACGTTCTTCGCACTGGTGACCGTGCAGGGGAGAGGTGTGGAGGCGCCCACACAGCCCGTCGCTGCTTTGGCCGGCTGACCGACGCCTGGCGTCAGCAGTTTCCGGAGGCCGCTGAGATCCCCCGCTGGGGAGAGCTGTCTAGGGCTGGTGTAGCTATTTATGATCTTGATTTTGATGCTATTCTCTCTGCTATGTATGCTGTGACTGGTAGTGATGAGGATGACTGTTACCGGTGTTTCCCGCCCGACCCGGGCATTGGTACTGCCGCGTCAAGTACTTGTGCAGCTGCTGCTCTAGGTGCCAGTGCGTCTGTTCTTTCAGGTACTGGTGAGTCCGCCCTCTCAGGTACTGTGTCGGCTTCGGCCTCTCACACCTTCACCCTTGACTCTGGAGCGTCTCGCTCCTTCTTTAGGGACCGCACCACTCTCACGCCGCTGAGTCGGCCGGTTGCGGTGTCCCTGGCGGACCCCTCTGGGGGGCCTGTCCTGTCTCGCTTCTCCACTGTCCTCCCGTGTCCGGCGGCCCCCTCTGGCACCCTGACTGGTCTCTACCTCCCCTCGTTCTCGACGAACTTGGTGAGTGGTGCTGACCTCCAGGATGCAGGTGTCCACCAGTTCACCCCTGCTCGTCAGCGGGTGACCCACTGTACGGAGGCGGATACAGGTCGCCACCTGGCTACGTTTACACGTCGGCCGGGATCGAGCCTGTACACACTGACCACTGCTTCTCCTCCAGGTACTGCGTCTGGTAGAGCCCCTTCGTCTGGTCAGGTGTTTGCTGCAGCGTCCAGGTCTGGTCCTGAGTCTGCCCCTTGTTCGTGTCGTCGTCTGTCTCACGAGACCCTCCTCTGGCACCACCGCCTTGGCCACCCCTCTCTGCTTCGGCTCAGAGGCATGGCCTCGCGGGTCCTTGTGTCTGGTCTTCCCCGGTCCCTCCCTCCCCTTCCTCCGGGCCCTGGCCCTGCCTGTGTCCCCTGTGTCGAGGGGCGCCAGCGTGCTGCCCCTCACTCCTCCCAGTTTCCTCCGACAGAGGCCCCGTTGCAGACGCTTCACATGGACGTGTGGGGCCCAGCCCGCGTCCGTGGACAGGGTCAGGAGCGCTACTTCCTGCTAGTGGTTGACGACTACTCGCGTTACACCACAGTCTTCCCCTTGCGCAGCAAGGGTGAGGTCACTCAGGTGTTGATCGACTGGATCCGCGCAGCTCGTCTTCAGCTTCGGAGAAGCTTTGGCTCTGACTTCCCTGTCTTGCGTCTGCACTCGGACAGAGGCGGAGAGTTCTCCTCGGCCCTCCTGAGTACCTACTGTCGTGTGCGAGGCATCCGTCAGACCTTCACGCTTCCGGACTCACCACAGCAGAATGGGATCGCTGAGCGCCGCATTGGCATGGTCATGGACGTCGCTCGTACGTCCATGATGCATGCGGCTGCTCCCCATTTTCTGTGGCCGTTTGCGGTCAGGTACGCTGCGCACCAGATCAACCTCCACCCCAGGGTCTCTCGACCGGAGACCTCCCCAGCTCTGTTGTGGACGGGGAAGGTTGGCGATGCGTCGGCGTTCCGGGTCTGGGGATCTCGGGCGTTTGTTCGCGACCTGTCTGCGGACAAGCTGTCCCCTCGTGCTTCTCCCTGCGTCTTCCTCGGGTTCCCCCCCGACGCCCCTGGGTGGCAGTTTTACCACCCCACCTCTCGACGTGTTCTGTCCTCCCAGGACGTCACGTTCGACGAGTCGGTACCCTACTCCCGCCTCTTCCCCTACCGCACTCCGTCCCTCCCCCCCCACCCCCCCTCTTCTTGGTACCAGGTCCCCCCCCAGTAGTCCCCCTCCCCCCTCAGGGTCCTGCCCCTTCAGGTGTGTCTCAGGTAGACGCGGTCGAGCCTGTCGAGGTCCCTGGTGACTCCGGTGCTGCTGCGGGAGCTGAGCCTGGGGGTGCGGAGTCTAGGGGTGCTGAGCCTGGGGGTGCGGAGTCTGGGGGTGCTGAGCCTGGGGGTGCTGAGCCTGGGGGTACTGTGCCTGGGGGTGCTGTGTCTGGAGGTACTGAGCCTGGGGGTGCTGAGCCGGGAGGTGCCGAGCCTGGAGGTGCTGTGCCTGGGGGTGCTTCGTCTCACCGGGAGCCGCTCTCTCCACTAGAGCTGCGTGAGTGGTTTGCCCGGCGCTGGAGGCGTGCCGCTGGTGCTGGTGGTTCTTCGGCTGCGGAGGGCGCTGCTGCCACGCGACCTGGCGGTGCTCGTCCTGTGGGTGCTGGAGCTGCTGGGTCTGAGTGTTCTCCTTGAGCTGGTCCTGCTGAGGACGTTGGCGCTGAGCCTGCGGTTGGTGGTCCGACTGACGGTGCTCCTGGTGCTGCTGCTGGAGGTTCTGGAGCTTCTGGTGGTTCTGCTGGAGGTGCTGCTGGAGTGGGTGCTCCTGCCGGGGGTGCTGGTGCTGTTCCTGCTGTTTCTGGCGTCGCCGCGCGGCCCCGACCGTACTTCGTTCCGCTCCTGCAGCAGGTTCTTGGTCTTACACCTCCTCCTCCTTCCTTAGAGGGTCCGCAGCCTGTCCGGTCACAGCCACAGCTACAGCCTGCCTCCCCTTTGCCTGCTCCTTCTCCCTACGCTGGTCCGACTGGAGGTCTTACTGAGCGTCGTGAGCCTGCGTCTCGTCCTGCGTCGCCTGTTCGTACTGAGCGCGCTAGTGGTCGCGGGTCGCGTCAGCGTCCTCCTCCTGTCCCTGGCACGCACCGGATGTCACTGCGTCCGTCCACTGCTCCTCTGCGTGCCCCTTTGCCTTCTCCTCCTGCTTCCTCTCTTCCTGCTCTTGCCGACCCGGAGTCGGACTCTCTTCGTGCTGCCAGTCCTACTGTCACGCGTCTCCTTGCTACTGCTGTCACTGACCCTTCCTTCGAGTCGTCTACTGCGTCTGCCCTTGTCACTGAGCTTGTCGACTTTGCTGCGCGCTGTCGTCTAGACTACGCTGCTCGTCTTGTCGCTGAGTCTGAGTCCGCCTGTCCTCCGTCCGTCGGGGGTGAGTGTGCCCTTGGCACGGACGTCCTAGAGGACAGGCAGGAGGAGTTCCAGTGTCTAGCCGCTGCTTCACCTCGTCTCGCGTCTGTACTGCTAGCCCCTGAGGGAGACCCGGATGCACTAGACATCCCGACTCCGCGTTCTTACGCGGAGGCCGTAGAGGGTCCCTACTCCTCTCAGTGGCAGGCAGCTATGGATGCAGAGATGGCTTCCTGGAAGTCCACAGGCACCTACGTTGACGCGGTTCCCCCTCCTGGGGCGAACATCGTCAGTGGCATGTGGATCTTCAGGGTGAAGCGGCCGCCGGGCTCGCCGCCTGTCTTCAAGGCGCGTTACGTGGCTCGTGGCTTCAGTCAGCGGCAGGGAGTTGACTACTTTCAGACCTTCTCTCCCACCCCGAAGATGACCACTCTTCGGGTGCTGCTGCACATTGCCGCTCAGCGCGACTACGAGCTTCACTCTCTCGACTTCAGCACTGCGTTCCTGCAGGGTAGCCTGCACGAGGAGATCTGGCTGCGCCGTCCGCCTGGCTTCACTGGGACTTTCCCTCCTGGTACCCAGTGGAGCCTCCGACGGCCAGTCTACGGTCTCCGCCAGGCACCGCGTGAGTGGCACGACACACTGAGGACTACGCTTGCGGCTCTTGGGTTTGCTCCTTCTACTGCTGACCCGTCGCTGTTTCTTCGCACCGACACTTCCCTGCCGCCGTTCTACATCCTCGTGTACGTCGACGACTTGGTCTTTGCCACAGCGGACACTGCTGGACTCGCCTACGTGAAGTCCGAGCTGCTGAAGAGACACACGTGCACAGACCTGGGTGAACTGCGCAGCTACCTTGGCTTGCAGATCACTCGGGACAGAGCACGCCGCACCATTACCCTGACTCAGTCACACATGGTGCAGCAGGTCCTTCAGCGCTTCGGCTTCACGTACTCCTCGCCTCAGGCCACTCCTCTGCCTACTCGCCACTCACTCTCAGCTCTGCCTTCGGATGAGTCCGTAGAGTCGAGTGGTCCGTATGCAGAGCTTGTTGGCTGCCTCATGTACCTGATGACCTGCACTCGACCTGACCTTGCATACCCTCTGAGCATCCTTGCACGCTATGTTGCTCCTGGGAGACACCGACCAGAGCACATGGCTGCAGCGAAGAGGGTATTGCGCTACCTGTGCAGTACGTCGGGCATGGGGCTAGTGCTTGGAGGGCGGAGTCCAGTGGTCCTTACTGGGCACGCAGACGCTTCTTGGGCTGACGACCAGGCTACGCAGCGGTCGTCACAGGGTTACACCTTCAGCCTTGGTTCCGGCTCTGTCTCGTGGCGGTCTACTCGCTCGTCTTCGGTTCTCGGCTCCAGTTGTGAGGCTGAGATCTACGCCGGGGCCATGGCTGCACAGGAGCTTCGCTGGCTCACCTACCTGCTGACTGACCTTGGAGAGCTGCCTCGTTCTCCTCCAGTGCTGTACGTAGACAACAAGGCCATGTTGGCCTTGTGTCGAGAGCAGCGCTTGGAGCACAGAACGAAGCACATTGCTCTCCGCTACTTCCTTGCTCGTGAGCTGCAGCAGCGTGGTCAGTTGCGACTTGCTTACGTGGCCTCTGAGGCCAACGCTGCTGATGTGTTCACCAAGGCACTTGCGCCTTGCGACCATCAGCGCTTTTGTACCCAGCTGGGTCTTGTACCTGTCTTGCCTCACTTGCTCTCTTCTTGACTTTACTTGTACTTTGACATATATATACCTGCTCTTGCTTGTCTAGTTTTATATATATGTCTTTACTCCTGCATGTGAACTGGCCTCTGGCCTTGCTCTTGTGCTCGGACTGTGTGGTGACTTTGTGATCCACCCTGAGCTTGTTTTGCTTTGCTTGACTGGTCTTGTGACCCCTTGTTCTCCCCCACTTTGCCTATGGGGGTGTGTCAGATTATTATAGCTGATGCATGTTTGTAGGCTATAGTGGGGTAGCACATATGGGGTACAGTTTGCTAGGGTTGTATTTGTACCCAACTCTGACTTAGTCAATTCATTCCTCTGCTCATAGTTTCACACAAGTGCGACAGCTGCAGTGGGGACCGCGGGAGGGTGGGCGGGGATAGCTGCTCGAGCGCGACGAGCGGAATAGGGGGCCGAAACGGAGGCGCGACGAGGCGACGTCGGGGCAGCGTGGCCGCGAACGACGGGGCGACGAGGCAGCGCGTCGAGCAGAGCGCCGCCTTCGCCCCGTCGATCGCACTGACGATCGAAACCGTCGCGGATTTTCACGC